TCGTGGCTGACCTTATTGCTGTGGTCCTGCAGGGGGAGCTTCATGGAGGACAGGAGAAACGGCCTCTTCATCTCCATCTGAGCGGCTGAGCAGAAGCGGAGCAGAGGCTCAAGGCCAGGCCGCCTCCTGCCCCCCCCCCACAGGCCCCCCAAGGGCCCATCATGGGTCCCCAAGAACAGAGGCACCTTTGCCCCTCCCTCCTGCCCCCCCCCAGTGCCCCACCAGCAAAGCCCCCCGGTGCCAGAGGAGGCCAGATCCTCTGCCAGGCACAGGAGGGCAGGAGGCCCGTCACCCACTGGCAACCAAGGGACGAGGGGAGGGGCTTGCAGGTTTGAGACCCCCAGAAGCCGCCCCTCCCTCATCCTGCCTTTCCCCTCCCCCTCCCCCCTTGAAGGCAGAGGCACCCCCCCCGCCCTGCGCACTGCCCTGCTCTGCTGCCCTCCCCCACGTACGGGCGCTGTTGATGATCTGGCGCAGGACCGTCAGGGTGCCCAGCCGCGTCTTCTCGTTGCTGGACTCCAGCTTTGGGAGCAGAAATCCGAGCAAGCGGTCAGGGAACGAAGCGGCTGCAAGAGACCGAAGGTCAGCGGGGCTGCCAGGCTGAGGACCCCCGTCCGTCCGTCCCGTCTCCCCCCCCCCCCGAAGCTCCACTCACCTAAGACGGTGAAGCAGCGGAGAACCTCGTTGTGGTTCTTCAGGGAGGTGGACTGGTACGAATCCAGGGGGGCGCAGAGCTGCTGGGGGGGGGGAGAAGAGCTCTGGCGAAGGGCGGCTCCCAGAGAGAAGCTCCTGCCTGTCGTCCTGCTGGGACCCACCCCCCCCGCCGCCCCCCCAAGGCGCCCCTAGGCACGGGGGCAGGAGCCTGTCCCGCCACGCTGGGTGCCCCCTCAGCCACGTGGCCGGAGGCTCCTCTGGCCAGACCCCTCCCCCTTACCTGGAGGTGGAGGGTCCCAAGGAGGACGTCCAGCTGCGTGTCCAGAGTCCGGCTCCCGATATTGACCGAGGCTTCCAGGATCTGGCACAGGCTCTGTCCAAGGGGGAGGAGGGTTACCATCCCCCCCCACTTGAAGGAGCAGCTGACCAGGCCCTTCCACGCCCACCTGAGCCCACCTCATCAGCTGCCCTGGGGGAGGGGGGAGATTCACAACAGAGTTGGAAGGGGCTTTAGAGGTCATCTAGTCCAACCCCCTGCTCAAGCAGGAGAGTCTATTCCAGAGACGAGCCTCTGCCTAGGATCGAACTCACAGCCTCCGGATTGCGAGGCGAGAGCTCCCCCTCGAGGCCACTGGAGCTGCCTGTCTCCCCCCCCCCCCCTCGAGTCAGCGGTTTCCTCTTCCTGGATTCTGAG